AAATCTAATACTCTAATCCTGTACTTTCAGGCTGGAGCCCCAGAACGATCGTGATTTGAAGGACTACATGGACCAGTCCCTGAGAACAGTGGCCACTCAGCTCTTGAACGTCTCCGGCCCTGAACAGACATCAGGAACAAAAGACGCATCAATCAAACCGAAACTTGGTCTCCTGATCCGCAAGCCCGACCGGACGATTCCTCCAGCTCAAGAACCTCTCATGACGGATCATGCCGACGACATGCAGCTGGTGAAGGAAGTGACACCCGACATGACCCCCGTAGGACGCCCCGTCAACTCCAAATACAATTATTTTGAGGTCAGCCACCCGGGTCAGGCGATGGCGATGACCGACGAGGACCTCGAGCGAGAAGTATCAGCGACAAGGTACCCGGGCTACAAAACCCAGCAGACAACAACCGGAGGATTGTCCACTTGGATCTTGCTGAATCCGCCCTCGTCTACCCCGAAATCAACAGACTCCAACACGACTCAAGGAACCTCTCCGAAGTCCCCGTCGTCTTCACTCCCGTCAGAGGTAGTCGTGACGAGTTCAAAGCAAGTGGTGAAGACGACCTCTACAACGCAGAAGCCGTCATCCCAGAAGCCAACGAAGCCTCTAAGTCCAAAGAAGACGACCCCAAAACCCGGGAAGACTACATCACCTGGAATCGTCACTCCAAGTTCCGAGGCGGTCACCTCCAGGTCGAGCCCGTCGCCAGGGCCGTCCTCCTCCGTCCCGAAGACCACCGAAGACTCGACGACTTTACGATCGACAACCAAGAAGATGACCCCAACGAAAAACACCACCAAGACGAAGTCATCAACGGCACGGGCAACAACAATCCTGACGAAGACAACGATGAAGGTCGTCAAGCCGCAGACGCGTCCATCGAAGCTTCCCGTGGTCCGCAAGACCACGACGGTTAAACCCGAAGTGAAGACTGTCAACTCAACTTCGAAGATCGAGAAAGTGACGTTCAAACCAGTCCAGATGATCACGACGCCGAAGAGTCTAGTTGAGTTCATCTCAAAACCCATCTTCAGTGCTAAAGTCCAAGGATCAATCAAGACAGACAGCAAGCCATCCTCATCTTTGATGGAGACAACCCCAAAGCCGAATAACGTGCTAAAACTGCACCTGAAGAAGCCAGTGGATACCCCAACAACCATTCAGATCGATCCGATCAAGGTCAGCGCTCCAGTCCTGACCATCGAGAAGCTGAACGATCCCGAAGAACCGGAGGACGAGAAGCCCAGCAGCCTAGAGCCAGTGACCCTCCCCAACTCCCAAATAGACGTCAAGTTCGACTTCAACCCAGAGTTAACGACAGCCGTGACTTCGACGGAGACCACCACCACCACCAAGCGATCGAAGTCATCGTCCAAGCGGAAGAAGCACAAGACCCGCAGACGCAAGCCTTCTACGACACTTTCCACGATCTCGACTTCTCCGACTGCTTCAACAGCTGCTGAAGAAGTCCCATCCCAAGAACACGAGCAGCCTCAGACGTCTTCTGCCTCCACCGCGGACTCTTCCCTCCAAGAATCCAAAATAGTACCAGATGCCAACACAAAGCACAAGAAGAAGCCGGTAGCGAAGCCGATCACCACGCAGATCTACAACTTCATAAGTCGCGAAGTCATGCCTAGCGTGGGAGTGATGTCCCTAGTGGGTCTAGGTCTCGGGTTAGCTTCCTACTTCCTGTACCCCTTTGGCGGCACCATCGCGAGACGGAACTACGAGGTTGAACCCAACTACAAATACAACTTGGACGAGTATGGCGGGAACTACGGACAGCGAGAGGAGGAAGTCTTCACGAAGGTGCTCCAGGGTATGAACACGAACGACGGAAAATACGGGGGCATCAAGGACTTCGAGAAGAACTACTACAGGTACCAGACGTACGACGGAGCTTACACGGATACCACGAGAAGAGCGGATCCGAGATTCCCTACGTCCTCAGTCCCGGTTTACCGACCGGAGAAGAAGCCCCTTCCTTACGACCTGAAGTACAGGAGCACTGGGTTCAAGTACTCGGATCCCCCGACGACGCCGACCTATTACGAGCGTCCTAAGGGCTCGGACTTCGTCGAAGCGAATATCGATCGTCAGTTCGTAGTCGGCAGTATTCCGAAGGAGTATTCGAACGAGAAGAAATTACGGATCGCCCTAAGCACTGAAGCCTCCGGGGTGGATTTTGAGAAGCAGATAGCCCAAAGCCTTCATTTTGGACAGAGTCAAAATGGTGACCAGAGTTATGATCAGCCAGATGCGCAGGCATTGAAGTCCGAGCATTACGAGGACATTGAGATCGCCCCGGCTGCCGTCGCGGTCGAGCATGGGCCGCGGTCTATGAGATTGAATAAATCCGGGGATTCCCAGTCGGGGGATTCCCAGTTGGGTGTTGGGGAGGTTAAGAAGCGTATGAAGAGGGATTCTGTGATTCAGTTGATCCCGTCTCGCAGTGAAATTGAGAAGGAGGAGAGGGAGATTGAGGAGGAGGAGCCCTTGAGTAACGAGATCCTCGATATCATCGACTCGGCGCTTCCTGGAGAAATGGTTGACGTGAAAAACGAGAAGAAGAAAGCGGAAGCGGACTGGAAGAAGAAGGGGTTGACTGATAGGCCCCGAGAGGAGTTGACCACGAGCTTCACGACGGAAGGATCGAAGACCAAAGAGACGGAGGTCGAGGACTCCTCGATGAAGACCCCCCAGACGACGTCAACGGAGTCGACGGAGTCGACGTCGTCTTCAATGGCTTCGATTACGCAGCCCACTTTCGAGTCTTCGAGTGCTGGAGGCGACCCGGATGCCCAGACCTTCCCCCCGACTACGGAAGTACCTCAAGAAGGGTTTAATATCCTGAAGTTCGTCAAGAGGGTGGCGGAGGTCAAGTTTAGGCTGGGTGTGACGATCCTGAAACACGCGTCCGAGAGCTTCGCGCGGTATCTCGGACATGTGCAGAAGAGGCTAAATGGGGATGAGTAGGTTCAGTTTAGTTGAGACGAGGATTAAGGTAATGTGGGAGCCAGGGAGGTTAGGTGAGAAAATTGAAGGATGTTCGACGACAAATTATGATCGCAACAGTCTCATTTCGTCTTCTTCCTTTATTCGTTCTGGTTACATCCTTTCGGAGTGGCAATAACCATTTCTCCTGCGAATTGCAACAGATTTTTATAAAGATGTTTGAGTATTTGCGATCGCAAAACCGCCGCGAGCGCCAAGCGGAAAAATTGTGAACCCCTATGTGATAATATTTAGAACATGAGAGTGAGGGAGAGGGGCATACGTGTCGCATAAGATGGAGTTAATCATGAGTATCACGTCAAAAATTAGGTTTGAATTGATAAAAAAATAAAGAAGATGCAGAAACCTAGACCTGAAGCTTTCATATTATCTGCAAAATCAGGGGATTGTATCAAGGGATTGTATTTTTCAGTTCTTTTAGGTTCAGTTGAGACGAGGATTGAGGTAATATGGAAGCTAGAGAGGTTATAGTCTAACTAAATCTTCTTTTCCCTCAGAAACCTAATTTCAGGTCACAGGTTTCTATAGTCGAAATGTTGATTTCTCAATGAAAAGAATTGAAATACAATTTTTCAAAGGGAAAAGAAATTTTAGTCTGACTATACACAAATTATGATCGCAACAAACTTATTCTTCTTCTTTTTCCGCTATCTGTTCTGGTTATATCCTTTCGGACAGGCAAACCGCCGAGAGCGCCAGCGGAAAAATTATGAACCCCTATATGACGGTGTTTACGACATGAGAGTTCATTGGCTGATTAATTGATTGATTGATTGAAATTTATTCACTGTCCATTATATTGTACAAAAATAAAGTAATAACAAAGTACTACAGCAGAAAAATAAGAGCAAATAACTAGAAATGAAAGGCACACACCCGGCATGACGTCATTTCTCGAAAGTTGGGTGACACAAATATCCAATCGATATCGCAAATATCTCGAAAACCTGTCCTCTCCTTCATCTATTCTCACGTCGGAGAGGCGCGCGGGAGCGCACCGTCAGACTATAACTAGAAACAAGCAGGGGAGCGATTTTGCGCGTTTTTCTCCAACTAAAAATTATTTTCCTCCCGTTTGGAGGCACTTCTGAACCGCAAAATGTCCCACGGAGGGGGATAACGATCACATGAATGGCTAAATTTGAATTCCCGCCATTTTAGTCTACCATTCATGCGATTGTCGTCCGCCTCCGCGGATCATTTTGCGGTTCAGAAGCGCCGCCAAGCGGGAGAGAAATAATAATTGTTAGTTGGAGAAAAACGCGTAAAATCGCTTCCTAGTAGGAGATTGCAAATAATGTCTACGAAGGGCTCACAATCCTATCGTAAAAAGGAAATCGATCTCGAAATATCTCGAAAATCTCGAATAAGCGTAAGCGTAAGACCGAAACCGAAGCGCCACTACGTGAGGAGAAGACAAGGCGCTTGCGTAGCACGCGCGGTCGATCCCGTAAGAAAAAGAACGAAAAGAGGAAGCCAGCACGAAAGGAACTTTTTTAACACAGGGGAATCACGATGACTAAGGTATTCACGGAGGGCTATGTTAAAGAATACCCGTAAGGAGTTCGAAGCTAAGAATGTGAAAGAAAGACATATTCTCCGCACAAAGTGGACTTAATCATCGCTATCTCCTGGAAAATGAATTTCGAATTGATAAAAAAATTAAAAAGACAGAAACGTAGCCCTGAGCTTTCACATTACCTTAAAAATCAGGGGGTTGTATTTTTATTTAATTCTTTTTCGAGTAGAATCGAATGCTCTGTTGCATAGTGACCCTCTCACTATGAAGTACTGCATTCTCCCATTTTTTGGAATCTCCAGACACCCTCTCGAGATTTGGAAAGACAAGGAAAACTACCCAAGAATAATAAAAGCTCTCTTTACATTTAAAACAAAAAAAATCCCCACAACCCCACGACGCCACTAATCCCCCAAGAACAAAATAATTTATTGTAAAATATCGTATAAATTAACGTTATAATGTAAACACTTTATTACTTGTAAATAAATATTGAACATTCAGAATAAATATTTCTACATGAAACAATTCTCATCAATCGCCAGTTGAAAAAAAAACTATGGCAAAAATAAATGTGAAACCCATGAGTTCTGGTCTCGCATCACCTGATCTTCAGATGAATTGTTCGGTCTAGATGATCTACTATAAATAATTATCTGAATCAACTACGCGAATAAATTAGCTACTGGCTTATAGAGAAGTTGTGTTTCCACTGGGTGATCTGGCGGTGATTTTCGAGGGCTCTGAAGTCCATTGATCGTCTCTTCCTCCCCAGTATCATGGGAATCATCATGGCCATGGTGGCAGGAAGCATCCCAGCGCCGACAGCAGCAATAACCGCTGAATTCGTCGGCCTCCCCACGACCGAGGTCCTCAGAGGCCTCTTCTTAACTATTTTCTGGGACACTTTGTCCGCCTCATACTCTCTCTGGCTCTGATCCACTGTCTTAAAGGTCTTCTCGACCTCGAGAAGTCCACCGTGTGATGTAGTCGTATTAGTGCCATTCAACGATGGTAAAACGGTCAGACGTACCTGAATTTTTCATCGATCATTAATTAGATATTTCAATTGATTGGTTCGCCCCGGCGATCGTGCATGACAACTCGTGAAGAGGAAATCCATTGGACCATTTGTTTAAGCAGTTTGTTTGTTTTTTCATCAGGAAAGGGGTCAGCTGAGAGAGTCAAGCGGGGAGGGGGGTTGATAGAGGTGCTTAGAGCATCAGTATCGAAGTTGAAGTTAGATGAGTCGAGTCGTTTGGGGTTTGTCAAATGGATTAACGGGTGCAATTCATTCATAGAACAGGCGCGCGATTTCGGTAGGGAATTCCATTGGCTTGAGGCTGATTCTAGTGAACCATTTTTATAGTTTTTTTTTACAGAGAATGTCCAATTTCGTATTTTTATGCAGTTTTTTCTACTGTGACATTCTATAGGAATATCTCTATAGGAATTCCTCAAAATTTGAGCCCCGGAATTTATAGAAAAAAAATATCTCAGCAGAACAAAAATCGGATTTTATCTTTTTTTTTTCTATAGATATTTTCCATTGAACATTTCCTATCCATTAATCGCACACGTACCCTGCGGAAATTTTTAATAGAATCGGTCAGAAGCAAATAGAAAGTTCAATAGAAATCCAATAGACTCTTCCAGCAAATCTGACAGATTTTCCTATGAAATTCTTTATTAATGTCCAATAGATATTTTTTTTATTGAAAACATCAGCAGAATTTCATCTTTCAACAGAAGTTTTTCTATTGGAACCCTTTGTACAGGAATTCAAACTGAATTTTCCTACTTTTTTCCTCTCTAAAATGAAAATTTGAGCCACGGAATTTCTACAGAAAATATCTCAATAGAACAAGTTCCATAGAAAAATTGGATTCTATTAATTTTTTTCTGAAACCTTCCCCGTGTTGATTCAAACCCAATCAAATCTCTTTGCCGATTTAAAAATCAATATTCACGAGATTCTTCTCTTCGAATTATTCCCTCGAAAAATCCTCTACACGACTGTTCGCGAATTCTCCTAGAAAAAGTCCCACCAAAATGCACAAAAAGCATCAATTAACTCGAAAAAATAAATAGAATTTCCCATCGAACGCGGTGTTCTCCATTCAATTACCCCACGCGCCTCAACTCATTCTATTCCAACCTTTCCAACTGATAATCGCCACGTGTTATTCATGATCTTTAGTCCGTTAGGACCGACCAACCTGTCGTTTGGATGTCATCACAGGTATAGCAGGATCGCTCTCATCACTTTTTTTTGTGCCATTAGGCTTGAGACTGATATCATCAATAGTCTCCAACTTGAGAGATCGTTGACGTGACTTCTGATAGCCACGATTTGTCGACAGGAGTATCCACTGTCCATCCCCAGTGGAGGGATGTGACGGTGGATGTCTGTTGTCGTAGTCGTATTGAGAGTAAAATGGTCTTGTGGGTTTCATATAGCTGGGCTTGTCGTTAATGTGATCGAATTTGTTGGGATAATTGGGCCAGTCGTTGCCGGACTCTTCGGGGTCCGTGGGAAATCTGTCGTGAAATGAGTAGCTGGGCTTCACCAGCTTGTCGTATTTTTCCCAGTTGCTGACCGGAAAGTTGGCCGGCCTGTTGTCGGTTATTATGTCACTCTGGGGCCGGTGGTGGGCGGGGAAGTCCTCCCAGGCGGAGTTGGGACGCTCTGGGGGCCACTTCTGGGCCTGACTCGGGATTATCTCGTACTGGTCGTGGGGGTAGGGGGGACGAGACGGCGGAGGCACGGGCTTCGGACGATTCTGGGGCTGATCGTAGTCCGGCCACTGGGGCTTTGGCTTCTCATACCTATTTAGAATGACATTTGGAGGGTTAAGAGGCCTTGGGAGTGCAAAAAAAATCTGGAAATGCGGGAAACTTTGCGCCAGGAACTCTCAGCCAAGAGGGCACCGACGAAAAAATTTCATAGAAAAATGTAGTGAATTCTTTAGGAATTTCTATTGGATTTCTACTTAATTTTCTATTGGTTTTTGTAATGTTCAATAGAAAATATTGAGGAGAATTTGATTTTGCTATAAGACTTATTCTCTGCAGAGATTTTCTATAGAATTTCCTCGGCTCAAATTTTCTGAGTTTTTTTCATTGTTTTTCTTTTCTCAAATGGAAAATTTGGGATGAGAAAATTCTATAGAAAATATCTCAATAGAATCAATTATATAGAAAAATCGAATTCTGTTAAACATTTTCTATCGAACCTTTCAATAGAATCGACCAAAAACTAATAGAAAGTTCTATAGAACTTCAATAGGATTTTCTAACGAATTCGCAAAGTCTTTTTATTAATTTTTTTCCTCCGTGGGAAGAGAAAAACCTGCAATATGGTTTTAATATATTGCCTATGCCTTTTTTTAGAAAGGATTTATTCTCTTCAAATCACTTTAATTTCGTTCCATTCAGTTCCAAAAAACGAGGATTTTTTCAAGCTATTCTTTCGATTTTCTATCCCCTTTTGGCTGAGAATTCAGGGGACAAAGTTTTTCTCGCATTTCGGGAATCTTTTTCATTCCCGCGGCCTTTCAATAGAAGTATTAATAGATCTTTATTTTTCTCCTATGAGAACTTCCTATCAAAATTCTTGGGCCTGAATTTGCTATTTTTTTTTATTTTTGCTTCCGACGAAGCATTGTATTCATCAAATCTAAAATTTTCATTTTTTTGTGTCAGGATGACTAATTTTGATCTCAGAAGTTCGAATATGCTGTTTTTAGATCACGTCCGTATATATGTATGTATGTGAGCTTTTTTTCCAATTTAGTTTTTCAACGATCATTCAAAAAATAATAATCGAAATCTTTTCAATTATAACTTAAAATATTCGTTCGGATGTTATTTTGTTCGAGTTCGAAAATAGTGGCTATCGCATTATTTCCTTTGAATTATAGCCTCATTAGCGGGCCGACCTTGGGCCGACATTGGCCCGACCTTGGGCTGACATTGCCCCAACCCTGGGCCGACATTGACCCAACCCTGGGCCGGCATTGACCCAACCCTGGGCCGGCATTGACACGGCCAAGGGCCGACATTGACAAGGTCAAGTCAAGGTTGAACTTCCCTACCAATCTGAAATTAATTTTAAAGAAACCGAATATACACGTTTTTGTTTTGATTCCATTAATCCATTCGGAAGCTAATTTATTAGCAAAAAAACTGTACTCGATTTACACCTGTGCGATGGGCCACTTGTTTAATAAGAAACGAAATAATTTAGTGTAAAAATCTTCGGGGAATTCATGCCCATGAATTTTCTATAGAAAAAAATCACTCAACCTCGTTCTGTTAAACATCTCTTATTCCCAACCCATGATTTGAGTGTAAAATTGTTTACCATGGCTTGTTATTCTCATAATGCGGTCGAGTTGAATAATCATTGGCCCAGGGTTTTCCACCACTCGGTTTATCCCACTTATTGGCTTCCGGCCAGGGCCGTTGGGCATTTGCGTTGGCCTGCCACTTTGAAATTTTACTCTTCGACCAGGGGACAGCTTCGAGGGTAACCCAGCCGTCTCTATTATCATTGCCATTGCTGTAGAATTTATTCCGTTTCGCAGTGTCGTTGAGGCTCTGAGTAAATAAACAACAATATGAAATAAATCTTCAGAATCCGTTTGATAATAAATTCAACGAATTGTCATTATTAAGCCCTTAGCTGAGTTTTCGAGAAATATCTCCGAATCCAAGGGAGATAACAAAATTTTCGTAATGACCTTTTTTGTAGAGCGAAGTGAGGGCTGCAAAAAAGGTAATGACAAAAATTTTACTATCTCCCTTAGATTTCGAGATATTCATTGAAAACTGGCCAATAGTCAAAATCGAATTGAACCGTTTTATTGCTTCAGCAAAAAACAGAAGTTCAAAGCAATTTTTTATCCATCAATATCACGATTTCCTCTCAATAATCCCCCCGAAATCACCTCTAGATTATCCAAAGAAGGCACATGTCCGGTGACAGCTTCCTCCGTGGACGCAGGTGCCTCAGTGCTCTTTCCCGTATCAATCTCCAGAAGAGTCACCGCAGGAACCCTCGTCGTCTTGGATTGGTAGTACGATTTCTCCGTTGTGCTCCTGATCTTATTGGCATACTCATCTAGAAACTTGTTGAGCACATCAGGATCGAACGTGGAGCTCTCCACGAACGAGTTGCGCTGGTCATGATTAACTTTCAAGCCATCTCTGCTGAGAGAGTCGTCATCCTCGAGACGATAAATCGCCCTCGACTTATCCTTCTCGCCACTCTCCACCTGTGGCTGAGCTATTTTCAGGTCATCAGAGTGCAGTTTAACGTAGTAGCGAGTGTCGCCGATGGTTTTATCCACTGCCAGGACCACCAGCACAATTAACGGAAGTCTGATCAACTCCATCTGCACAAATGGAAAAACCAATAGTGTTGATGCCTTTTTTCCTGTCAGATTCGATATCCCCTTCTTCAATTAATTGTTTATAATCATTCTCATTGGAAAAAGCAATGCGACCGATGAGAATCATGTCCCAATTTATCAGCTGTTAAATTTTCATACTACAATGCATGATTTGCTCATGTTCTAATTCCTGTGCTACTGAATAAGATTTTAATCATAATTGGAATTTAATTCCTTCCAGAACACACTTTAGAGTGTGAATTTCTGGAATTCAATGTTTGTTGATACTCTGGTAAAAGTGCGTGCCCACACTGTTATCAATTTTTAGTTAGTTCACACGGTAATTCAATTAATCTGTTGTTCATCTCATCAATATAATTCCGCACTTGGAATATTGAGTCACAGCTTCTTTTTATTCATATCAGAAATTTTGTATTTGGATATTAATATTATTTGTTCAAAGTGAAAAAAACGATCATCATTTTCACTATCTTGCATTCAGATTCTCCTATCTTTAACGTAAAAAATGTGAGATAATCTCATAATTCTAGCTATTAATTCTAATCAACTTTCTTCGAAGAACACCTTAGTAAACGCAATATTGAGAAAGTAGAATTATTCTATTTTCGTCTGACCTAAATGATTTGCGCAATTATGATTCGTTTATTCATGTTTCGTAGAATGGTATTCAATTCTCATTCGCTTGTTTGCGGGGGTCATGAAAATTCGACGCAAGACTTTTTCTTAAAAATTTCCATTCAACGAAAACATGCGGAATTATTCATTAAAATCAGGTGAAAACCGACGGAATTCTAACGCAAAACCACTAGGATTTCATATCAAGTGGACTAGTTTTTTCTATAGAATGGTTTTATGAGTTGACTTTTTTAAAACAATTTTTTAATACATCGGGATCCATGTGAGATAGCGAAAACTTTCTCTCCAAAAGGTGTCTGACCAAAAATTCCGTATCCCCTTCAGCTCCCGAGGTATTCCCCTCGAGTAGAATCGGCTGCTTCAATCATTTTCCGCACGGAGAGAAGTATCCAATAAAAATTACGTATCTTTTCCGTAATTCCGGAGCGAAATGTGGTTGCAGGAAATTTTACGGAACAGTCACGGAATTTTTCCGGAGCGTTCCGTAATTTTTATCTAAATCTCCTGGGAAAAATTGCGATGCCGTCACTTAAATTTTCTAAGTCGATTCCGTAATCGGCGAGTGAATTGTGAGTTCTGTAATTTTTACTGAACATTTCTCTCCGTGCGACTCATGGATATTCTCAAACAGAATAAATGACCAAAACACGTCAAATACTGCATTTCTGACGATCGAAATTACGATGGAGAATTTTCCTCGATTTTTTCTGCATATCAACAATCTAGATAAATTTTATAATGAATTCCCCGCGCTGTGCGCTCGGGATTTTAATCAGCAAAACTTCTCCCTCTCGGCGCTAAAATTCTATTTGTTTTTTGCGCCGGTTCTAATAAAAATTCCGCACCTTCTCCATGCGCTTTTAAACAGATATTTAATAGATGATTACAGAAAAATCTGTGAATGTTGATTTGTCTAAATAACTCATTCCGTTGGGATTTTTTTCTATAAAAATTTTTGGGTATGAATTTTCCGATTTTTTCTTCTCGGATTTGATTATGAGAAACAAATAAAAATGCATCGAAAAAATATGGAGAATTTGCGCCCAAGAATTTCTTTAGAAAAATTAAAATCTATTGACTTTTTGGTAAATTTGCCTAATTTTCCAAAAAATTGAGACAAAAAATAGGATTTTTCTATAGAATTCAATCGATATGAAAATTCGAATGAAAAAATTTCATAAATAAATCTAGCACTTTCTCCAAGAAATTCTATTACATTTTTTTTGTAACTCTACAAGAATTCTTGGCCATAAATTCTTTATTTTTGTTTTCGATTTCGCTATGAGACATAAATAAAAAACCATGGAAAGCCCCTCAAATTAACGCCCAAGAATTCCTACAGAAAAATAAAAATCTGTTGATTTCTCTCTACCAAAATATCTCTCAACAAAATAACACAGTAAACTTGCGTAATTTTCTCCAGAATTAGCGCAAAAAATTGATTTTTCAACAGAACTTCTCATAGAAAGCGCAAGGTAAATAAAATGTGCACACACGAAAAAATTTGATAGAAAATCTCCGCGAATTCGCCAGACATTTCTATGGAATTTCTGTCGAACTTTCTATTAGTTTTTGGCCGATTCAATTGAAACCTTCAATAGAAAACATTTTCGGGAAAAAGTCAATAGCGAATTCGCCGTTTTTCTATTAAATTTCTTCTTGCGTGTGTACATGCGTCAGCTCAACCAACAATTGTTACCAATGTACAACTAAATATCACAAGACACACCATTCTCACGTTTTAATCCTCACACACGTGCGATTAATCTCATGAATGAATCAATCAGCTGAACCACAGAGATGAAAAAAAATCACGAGTGGAAATACGAAAAATGAAATATTAGACTGATGACCTCGACTGTTCAAGGTCCGAGATGGCTGTGGGTCTCGGTCTATGTCCTCGTTTGCTTTTAATCCAGATCCCCACTTCCTTGAACGAATGGTCCATTTTTCGTCTCACTCCTTTCACGCGCGCAAAGCGAATTGTCTCATCCATTCTCCCTCACGTCCTCTCCACCCGTCCCTTTGTCTCTGCGATGCACAATGTCCCTGGAATAACGAAAATAAAAACAAACATCCGTTAAGAGTTTTGTGGCCATTTTTCACAAGATGTTTCAATTATTACGCGGGGGTTTATGGGACAAACGCTATTAGTCGTAAATTTTTTTTTCCAGGGGTAATGGGCTCTCGGCGCTGGGGTGATGCGATGGAGATGTTTGTCACTCGTTTTTTTTGGTAATTAGTTTTTTCAGGATTTTAAGTGACACGCAGAAACCGTCAACTCTTCATCGTCACGGTCTAATTGTCCTGGAGGCAACTGAAACCTCGGTTGGAGTCCTAACGTGTCTTTTAGTCTCCTTTCCCCGGGTGCCATCCACTCTCCAACGAAATTATCATTTTCTAGGGGGGAATGGGCTCAACGGAGACGCTATTTCAATTGCTGATTGAAATGTTCGTGAGTGATTGTTGCGGGGGGTGGGGGAGTAGGGGGAATTATACATGAAAAATTGAGTAGAAAATTTTTTAGAATTCACGGAGAGAAATATTCAATCGAAATTACGTATTTTTTTTGTAATATCGGGGCGAAATGGAGTTGTAGGAATTTTACGGAACTTTCACGTAATTTTTACCTAAAATCAAGGATTTTTTTTTACTGCGTTCCATAATTTTTACCGGAATTTCCTGTGAAAAATTACGACACTCTCTTAAATTTTCTGAGTCGATTCCGTAATCGGTGAGCGAACTGTGAGTTCTGTAATTTTTACTGAACATTTATCTCCGTGTTGATAGAATTCTGGTGAGATGTTTGACAAATTTAATTTCGGTAGAAAACAATTATAGAAAAATTAATTGACTTTTTGAAAATCTGATATTTGTCTGAAAAACCTCACAGAAAAATTGATAATCTTCGATAGAAATCAGATTAGATAGAATTGTTTTGAGAATTTGAATGAGATTCCTTGGAGAAATTTAGTAAAATAGTAAAATTAGTAAAATTTTTAATTTTTTTTTCTGATTTTCAAATTCCGACCCTTGAAGTTCAAATTATTAAATCATTGTAAAATGCCTGAAAACTTAGGGTCAAATGGGGCTCAAATGAAAGCTCTGATATTTGACTACGAAAGTAAAAAACCCCTTCACTGGAGAAAAAATAACCAAAGTACGTGAATATCCTTAAAGTAAAAATTTCTTCAGAATTCCCTGAAATTCCTTAATTTTATCATCATAAAAATAAAAAAATATCTCCACAAAAAACATAGATAAAAATAAAAATATCTTCATTCATGAAAAAATGAGACAACTGGGGATATTTTATCAATTTTTTTGAGGTTTGAAAGTTAAAATAGGTAATAGTAAATTTCGATGCGAGTGCGTAAAAGTGGGGTTTCACAAAAAAAAACTATTATTATATTTTACGGAAGAGAATTATTATTATTTCAAATAATGGATTTTTCAGTTTCATAATTATTAAATTTCATTATTATTATTATTATTATTATTATTATTATTATTATTACAGGTATATATGTATACTACTGTATATCGCCACCGTCAATCTAACGGCAAATAATATTAAAAATTATTATTATATTTTACTGAAAAGAAAAATTGAATTTTTTACTATTATTTGAAATAATAATAATTATAACTTTATGTGTGGAAAGTGGGATTTCACACATTGCAAAATTTCAATTTACGCACAAGTGATGAAAATTATATTTAATTATTAAAAATAATAAACTTGCAATAGTTATTTCAAACTATTGCGTCATACCTAACTACTCAAAAACTACGCATTGATTTATTTCTTCCTTTCTAACGAAATATCGAATAAAACATGTGTGCATAGAATTCGTTATCTCCTCCGCACACATGACGGCAAATAATCCTGAACTTTCACCGATGAACAATTCAAACCCGCCCTCAAACAGGTTTTATCACCGAGGGATAAAAATGAAACTCGACTCTAGCCCGGGGAAAGGGGGAGGAGAAATGATTCTCTGATCACTTGCAATTGATATACCACAGTTGGACGCACGTTGAGGTAGGTCACCGCGTGCTTGCACGTATAGTATTCTCTCGTCATCCGCGAGATCTTCTCGTTGTTGTTTTCTTCTCGGGTTTGCCTTTTTTTCGTCTTTCTCGGTGCCGTTTAATCGTTCGACTTTCACGTGTAAATTCATTTTCTCTGTCGAGTGCACTCTCCAGTTTTATCGGTATTTTTTTTTAGGGAAACTGGAGATTTCTGAGCTGTTAACACGATTTCGTTAGTTTGGCTCGATCATTTTTTACAGCTTCGAGGATATTCACGCACTTTTTATAAATTCGACGGACAGGTGGTGGAATCGCTCTTGGAAATTTTTATGGTGTTATCGTTTCACAGGAATTTTGAGGAATTTTGGCACTTGGAAGTCAATATTTTATGGGTAAAGAATGGAAACTGTTAATTTTAGTTCAGTTATTCCATGAAAGTTGATAGAAATCAGGAGAATTCAGGTATATAGATTCTTGAAGTTTCAAATTTTCATTGAAAATTGTAATTTGTTGGGAAATTCTCCTGATGCTCATGGAATATTTGGAATTTCGTTGAATCCTTAGTGAAATAAGAAATTTTATTCTTTTCGTCACTGTTAGAGAGTTTTCGAAATTTCATGGAAAATATGGTAGTAATTCTCATGAGAGTGATATCGAATCCGATTTAGGGGAAAAATGGTTATGAAATTTCAAGTTTTAGGTAAAATTCAAGATAATTCATGAGATTTCAGAGGGAGTGAGAATATTCTCTATTGAAAATGTCAATAGAATCAGCTAAAATCTAATAGAAAGTTCACCAGGAATCCAATAGAATGGTCACGCGAATTCACTCGGTCTGTCTATTAAATTTTTGCATACTTCTATTCCAAGAACAACGAAAGTAAGAATGGAGAGTTGTATGCCCCAAACATTTTCCCCAGAAACCAGAAATTTCCTTTCTCAAAGTGCAAAATAATTGCCGTAAAAATCGTCAATTTGGGCCGTTAATTCTAACTCGTCGCTTCCTGTCGTTTTTCTTTATCATCTCATGAAGATGAAAACGGAGCAGTGGAACCGGGTCAACACAGCTAAATTTCGCTAGAAAGTTTTTCCCTCATTGTTATCCTCCATCTGACTGCCTCCACCTCTTTATTTCCTCACACTCTTGAAGTTCTCTCTTCTTCCACAACACTTCCCCCCTCCCCCCGCCCCCCGAAAAAAAAATCTACCATTCACAAGGCGGAAAAACATTTCACCCAGTGGTGGAAATCATCCCACAAAAGAGCCAATGGTCAAAGTAAGTGGACTGACCGACAATGAAAGTAGCATTCGCGCCTGTTTGATGCACATTTACTCGTCGTTCCCTTCCTTCATCTTCAATGAGTTTTTGCCGTAATCATGATGCTCTGACCCCCTTACCTAGGGCCTTGCAGTAGGCCAGCCACAAACATTGGAGACCACAAGATACAGGGTGTTCAAAAAATTATGCCAAAAATCAATTGCTGAAAATTCAATCAATTAATTCAGTAGCGGAGTGGTAAAACGGTACAAGTCAATTTTGATCATCGACCAGTTTTCAGAGAATATCTCGGAATCCAAGGGAGATAGTAAAATTGTTGTTATAACCTTTTTTGTAGAGCCGATTAAGTGCTACAATAAATGCAGTTACGAAAATTTTGCTATCTCCCTTAGATTTGGAAATATTCCTCAAAAACTCAAACCGGGTTAAGTCCATTTTTACTTTTGGTCAGTTTTTTATTAATATCTCGGAATCTAAGAGAGATAGCACAATTTTTCTCATTGCCTTTTCTATAACCCTCAATTAGCTCTACAAAAAAGTTTATGACAAAAATTCTTCTATCTCTTTGAGATTCCGAGATATTCGTCACAAACTGGCCAATAGTCAAAATCGACTTAACACCCGGTTTTTCGCTTTGCTACCGATTTGTAGTCTCCAATCCTCAATTTTTGTCATCTATTCTACGCAATCTATCAAAAGACAAAGATAGAAATCGAATTTATGGGTATTCTTCCATTATTCGAAACAATATTTTAAAACTTTCCGGAGACATTGAAAAATTAATTTTTTTAGTTCTTCCTGCTCACTGTTTTTTGCATTTTTTGAATTTCTTCTTTCTGAAATATTGATATCCCTCTGATACTTGAAGAAAAAAAGTGATTCGCAGTTCCCGCCGACGTAAGGAAAAAAAAACTATTTTATTATTTTATTTTTATTTTGCCGATTATCCCTTTAAAATTCTTTTTTAATTTCCTTTTCATAACAATAATTGGAATCCGATCACAGGAATGAGGAGTGCCGGTATCCATTTACCATAGGGAGGGGAAAATAGATTAAAAAAATTTTCAGTAATACATGGAGAGATTTTTTTATTACCCGAATGAGACTTCCAATGACTTTTGTTTTGTGTGTTTATTTTGATCACAAAACTTGACACTTTTCATTGATCTTTAACTCAATTTCTTAATGTAACTATTCTTTGTTTTGTCATTTTTATTTTGAATAATTTTTTTTCTGCTAATTAAAACATTCTTGAAGGTATGGAAGCCATCATATCCCCACTTAAGTGATTATTTTACTTAAATCACGAAATTAATGGCTCAAAAATTACCAAGCGCATAATATTTCACACTTAGAAAAAAAAATCCTACGCCAAGAAATTTTATACTTGTTCGAAAGATGAGGGAAATTGGTTCATATCAAGAAGACGAGTTCTCAAATTAATTCAAGTGGTTTTGCATTAAAATATTTTACAATTGAGGCTAAAAACTATTAAATGATTTAATTCAATTTAACTTGGTATGAGAAATCTTTCTTATCATCAAGAAATCCTCGTCGTCATTAAGACAAGCACAAAATTTCTTGACGAAAGTTTTTTTTTCTCAGTGCAAGATATTTGGCTCTTGAAAATTTTCAAGCCACGAGTTTCTTGATATAAGTAAAGACGTACTTGTCAAAAAACTTTGTTTTTGTCAGTGTGTTCAGTGGAACAGAAATAGGCATAATCATAATTTATAATTGTCACTAATTTTATAAATACTCAATCAAGTAATAGAACTTAACAATTTTTCAATTATTAAATTAATCAACAACTAAATATTCAAATTTCGAATTATTTTATCACTCAATAATCGAATTCGTAAGATTGACGACAATTTGAAAAATCTCAAATACTTGTTCGGAAATTTTAAATTATTCACTTAATAGTTATTAAAAAATTTGGATTATCAATTACTTTACTATTTTCTAAATTCCAATGATAAATGAATGAATTCAGTTATTTTAAGGAAAGATTCTCATAATATTACTGAAGTAATGATTGATGCCGATCACTGCAGTGGAAATCCTGAAAAAAAATTCCGCTATGATTTTTTGAACACCCTGTTTCCTGATAAGCCATAAATATCGAATTATCCGTCATAAAATGAAATTTCCTCTTTTTTTCACTCAATAATTCTACAGCTCTTGAAATCGATCCCATTTTTCTTTCTTTCTCGGTCGCGAGGGAAATGATACTTTTGCCCTGGAAATTACAAACAATCGGTACAATTTCTCGGCCAAGAGAGCAGAAAAAAATGGAGAATCCGAGTGAGAGGGTCGCGATCCACTGTAATCGATCCTATTCCTTTGTTTGCACTAGTTCTTTAATGATTGACTTGAGCGATAGAATGTGGGAGTGGTGGGTGGGAGGGGGAGCCCACGTATTTTGTTCTACTAACCGATGCGAGGTGGATCAAACAGAATGAAGTCTGTGACAGGTGGCGAGAAAAAAATTTCCTGAAAGCGTTCGCGCGACATTTTTTCAAAAACTGATACCGCGTAATTGCGAGTTAATCAGGGGCGGGGGGGGGGG